CCTTCTTGTATTCAAACAGCATTACATGCCAATTGTGTGCCATCACTATAAGGGATTAGAGTATACTAAACTTTACACATTATATAGGCTACACTAACGTGACGCTTAAGTGGTTTGTTTAACTATTATATGTGATGTTCGTTTTTTGGGGGGTGGTTAATGAAAGTGTTCCAAAATGCAACATTAATTTTTTGATGACCTAATAGATGTGTACATATGTGTATAGATATTAGAAAAAGGTCATTTTATACTAAAATCTAACAATGGTTATTTTAAAATTGGTGCCAAGTTATCATCACAGAGTACGTTAATTGACAATAGTATAGTTGGCTGCTTGATTGACTACATCAATTTCGGTTGTTTCTTACCTAAATGTGGTATAGGTAGAGATACATTTTAATTTGTATTTAGGTCTTACTATTATATTTTAGTTAATTATGTATTAGTTATGTTTTAAAATGCATAATTAAAAGGTTTAAACACTTTTGAAATATTCATCATACTTTGCATCTGTCCTCAAGGCTTATGATATTACGAGCTGAACGAAAACTTTGCTGAAGGGTTGCACATGTCTCCCAAAGAAACTGTAATATGCCTTGAGGGCACTGTTCACTTGTGTCGAGATGAATAATAAGTAGTAAAAGGACAGGAAAGGAAAATAAAACATTAAAAATTAAGTATATAGTACTGTGCAAAAGTGTAAAGACAAGAGAATATTTTGTAATTCATCTCATTTTATGGGCTAATTCTTCTATGCCATTACAGAATGTAAATTTCAACACTCTGGTTGTGCTTCACTAATCCCTGTTGACAATTGAATGAGCCAGGGTGAGAACACTTATCATTCTCTAGAATTCCCATATACTTGTACCAAGGGTGTATCATAAGGGTTCTGCTTGAATGAACATACTGACCAAAGTTAGGGTCTGAAGTAACTGTCATGTTACTCCATAGGGTCTTAACTATATAGAAAGAAGCTAGAAAGGAAGTTAAAATACTTATTCTGCTTTAATGTATCCTGAACCATCTAAAAATCTTGTTTTTGGTGTATGACTTAAAGCTCATTAAGTGCAATCACAGGCAGACGCATCAGTGAACACCCTGCTGTTAAGAACACTAACCCTTATGGTGCTGCCATCCACTGTTTGAAAGCATTGTGCCCTCATATGAGTTTTTCCACATCATACTACAAGTATAGAAAATGTTTCAGTTGTGTTTTTCCATCCTCTTGCAGTAAACATTATAAAATTCAGTCTGAAACTGAAGCATTGAGTGATATCCCTGAGTTCGAAATTTTAGTGATGTAAAAACTTTTAAGTTTGTTACAAATGGAGACATTTTGAAAAATTAAAACAATTTCCATGAAAGAAAAGAGGTTAATATTGTTATGTATAATGAAAGAAACACAAGTTTATAAGAAATATGAGAAATTATAAGAAATATTATGAACTCTGTCATAATGTTTTTCAAGAATAAATGTTAAATCCTTTTCTCTTACTGTTTGAAATGTTTCCCTTAGACTTCTGATATTGGAATGACAGAGCAAACAGGTGACAGTCCTACAAAGTTTGAAATCTGGTTTCGTAAAAGAAAATTGAATGACACATACATACTGCAGGCACCAAACTCTGATGTGAAGGCTGCTTGGGTCCAGGAAGTCTCTAAGCTTCTGTGGAGGCAAGCACTAAGAAACAGAGGTGAGGATGGCTTTCAGATGTGCAAGCTGTTTTTGTTAAAAGATTTCTATAATGTTAGTTTATAAAACCCTTTAATCAAACTACAGAGTTACATAACCAACATACAGCACTGACAAATACCCGTTAATACTGATCATTTCTTTCTAAGGTAAGCAAAGTTTCACACTGAATCACAAATTTTAGGAATAATTAAAACATTTTATCAACAAGTTCAACTACAGATGATATTCAAATCATCTTTCAAAATACAAAATCTATTCAGATCTAAAGACCTATTACCTAACCCTACGTGTTCCAGAACCGTATATAAATATACATGTTGTGGCTGTTTTAATTAAAGAAAGTTTATTATAAATGTACTCCTGACACTAAATAATAACACACATCTTCACTAGAGTTAAGTCTGTTCTGAATACTTGTATAATATTGTTATAATTGTTACATTATCCTATTCTTTGTTTATTTGGTTGTCTTTTAATTTACTTCATCCTTTTATTCTATATTTTAATTATTTTTATAAAATGTTTAAACTTTATAAAAATTTTTGTACCTAATATTTTACTCTGTTCAATATATTTTGCTGAAGATGAAATATGTATATTCTGAAACGTTCAAGAATTAAATGTTTGTAACTGTACACACACGTATAAAATGTTCATTGTTGCTGCCATCGTTCTACTGTTCATCATTAAACTTTGATTCCACCGAATGAATCTAGTACAGCATTATATGGTTGTTTTCAATACTTTTAGAAATGCGTTTGGCAGAAATGTCATCAATGGGAATTGGTAATAAGCCTTGTCTGGACATCAAGCCCAGTGAGGATCAGATCAGTGATCGGCTAGTTGCTGTTCAACAAAGTTGCAGAGGTAGTTTTTTTCTTTATGATACATTTACAGACACACTATGAAATAACCCTGTTTTAAAAATTGAATAATATAGTGAAAAGTAATGTACTATTTTAATTTGATAATGATGTATTGAGTATAATTAAATATTTCTTTCTTGTAAACATGTGTTAAACTGTTAGACCCAAAACATGTTAATTTTTAACAATTTCTTATAGTTTATGATCTTAGTGATGGGTACAGCAAAGATAACTTGTTTTGTAGCTTTGTGCTGAAACAAATACAATATATAATTTCAAAAGCACAATTTTGCAACCATAATTTTAATCTTTAGCCACAGTTGTGTGATTATTTGTAAAACTGTAGTTTGAATTAAAAGTTTTAAACCATAGTATTATCACTAACTGATTGACTAAATCACTGCTCTACTTCATAGAATTAGCATATGACTAATGATATTTACATTTTATCTAGTTCCTCAATTCCACAGCTCAGTTACTGTGTCACCAAATGACTATCTGCGAAGCAACAAACGGCCTCATTCCATTATATCTGTAAGTAGTTCATCGTCAGGAAGTAGTCTGTCTTCTTATACCTGCTACGGAGCTCTACAGCTAGGCCTTGATCCAGGCGACAGCCATGTTTTCTTACAGAACCTGATAGAAGAGTCTCACTATTCTGCAGGTCAGTTGTAAAAAATGTCTCTTCAAACTTTGGAGAAATATACTTGTCTTTAGAGAACCTTCTCATATGATAGTATTTGCATAAATTCTTAAATGTTTGTAGCAAATGACCAGCTATATGCAAACTGTTTCTTGTGTATTTAAAGTTTGTAAATGTGTAAAATCAACCTTCAGCCACACTTGAACTGTTTTGTTTGTATTATTGAACTTTTTTTTTCCCTACAATTTGTGTGTTACTTATTTAGTAATGATTGAATTATTTTTATTCGTGATGTTTTAAAATTCAGCTTTTGCTGTTATATTGTTTAGTTTCATTATTCGGAATACTACATTTTTTATTGTTTTGTCGGTGTTTAAGTAACATGTGTATATTACTTACGATTTTAAGCTACAGTTTTACCTTTATTAATCTTTCACTTACGCAGTTCGGAGATAACAGTATGGAAGTTTTTATAATATGACATAAATTAGCTAAAAATGAATAACATCAAATTTTCATGATTGTGACTAGAGATTTGGTATATTTGAAACTTGTTATTTTGGACCATACTTATGGCTTTGTTAAGATGATATTAAATATAAATTACTCTTTCATTACTAAACCTAAACTTATCTTTAAACAGTTACAGGGTGAAATAGTTAAAGGGTGCAGTAGGTAAACAATTGCAGAGTACAGTATTTGAACAATTATAGGATACAGTGTTTGTAAGAGGGTACAATATTTGAACAATTAAAAGGTGCAGTAGTTATAGGGTATAACATTTAAACAATTATGGGGTATGATAGTTAAAGAATTGCTGGCTACAGTATTTAAACAAGTATATGGTACAATATTTAAACAATTATAGAGTACAATATTTGAACAATTAAAAGGTGCAGTAGTTATAGGGTATAACATTTAAACAATTATGGGGTATGATAGTTAAAGAATTGCTGGCTACAGTATTTAAACAAGTATATGGTACAATATTTAAACAATTAAATGGTACTGTAGTTAAACAATTGCAGAGTACAGTATTTGAACAATTACGAGGTACAGTATATTACAAAGTTTACTGTAGTGGTTACCTATATTAGAAAAACAAGACTTTAGTTGTTAGTAAGAATTATATATTTTGATCTTATGACATCTTACTCCCAATTTTATAAATTAGCTTTGAAGTAATGTAAATTTACTGTAATAAACATTTTTGTTTGTTTGCTAGAGAGTGGAATTGATACAGATGTCAGTATGACGGGTGAGTGTTCTTCAGATATGTGTGGACTTCAACACAAGAAGCCTGAACGTAGTAACAGTATTCTGTCTAATGAATCACTTGTCACAAATCCACCATCATCAGTGCATTTACAAAGTGATAAGCAGTTCTTAGAAGAGGTTCATATCAATATTTATTCTTTATAATTCATCTTAAGGCTGGGTGTAAATTTGTAAACTAGCTTTGTCAGAAATGGCTAATTTAAGAGATAAATGGTACACATGACATAGTAAAAAGTACTTACCTATTTAAATTAGCTTTGTTCTAGTCCAGTAATGTACTTAAAACCAGTTTAAATCTTTATAGAAAAATAATATTAATGTATTTACATGAGAGATTACCCATCAGTGTTTCAAATATATTTTTTTAAATTCTTTATACACCAAGTTGCTTGTGGGGCCCGTGACTTTGTTGGTTACAGGGTCGCTAATAACATTTTAGCTGTTTTCTGAATTTGTTTTTCAGCATGTAATATTAACATGCAAGTTAATCAGAAAAATATTGCAATTAATCCCATTATTTACTGCTGAAGTTCCCTGTATTTTGTATCTAGAACATGAGTAATTTTCCGCAGTTATCTAGATAGTTCTTTACATGCAGAAACACAGAATTACTCATTAAGATGCTACGTGTGGAAACCAAAGTAGTGTATTGTATAAAACAAGTTGGTAATTTGACAGGTAAGCAATTCTACTATTTAGTATTCATTTTTATCTAATGTTACACTTACAGGTTAGCAAACAATGGTTTTTGCAATGACTTTGTTATTAAAATAGCATATCTTTATGAAAATGTCATGGTTCTTCACTTTCAGCCTGATGAGACAGTCACTATGTAATCAAGGGCACAAGTTAAAAGAAGATTCCATGGGATCAAGAAAAGAATAATTCAAAACTGTGCCAAAAGATTAACCAAACATTTTAATCACTGTTGGATCTTGTGCTTCTTACAATCAACTAATTTAAACTCTAGAGTAATATTTACTAAAAAAAATATGGGTGGTTGGAACAGATGAAAGAAATTATAGCACAAAGGAGTAAAAAACCATATCAGCTATGGCACCTTTGGTGTAAATTCTGTTGGTGATTTATGATGTGGCTATTATTGCTATATAATTTAAGTTTTATTTCATTATTAATATGATGTTTACTTATTTGTAAAAAACAAACCGTGTTTTAAGCTTTTTTATAATTGCTATGAATCTTTTATTATTTAGTAATAGTATTCTGTATTTAAATTTTGTAACATAATCCAAATGACTATGTAAGACTTGATATAAGTTGTGATTAAAATCTAGAGTTAAGAAGCTCATATTTCAAACTTTTCTGCATTTCTATTTAATCTGTTTAACTTATTAGTTCTATTGCTTGTAAAAATGGATATTGTTTGATTTCAACAATTCTTTTCATTAGTCTAAAGAGTCAGAGGTAACAACCTGTGTTTGTAACATTTGTTTATAAATGTCACTTCATACTAAAAGCTTCTTTAGTTTCTTGATAATAAATCAAATTCTAATTGATATTTGTAGAACACTAGAACATTCCTTGCTTTCAACTTGTAAGATTGTTTCAAAGGTATATTCAAACAAACTAAATGATAAACTTAAGAATATTTCTTGACTATAAAACAGGTTCATGCTTTTTACATTAGTCTTGGTTTAGTGGCTTTTTGCTTACTGTGGTATGTACATAGGTTTGTATAAAAGTGTTTAATACTTTAATGATAATCTCTAAGACAATGGCAATACTGTAGTGTAGACAACATACACTCTTGATTATTTCTATGTGCCATTTTCTGTACCTATAGAAACACAGGTAAGATATTCTCAATTTCATAACATATCAATGTAATGCGGGTAATAACACCCATTATTTTGCTAGTTCTGAATGTCAAATAAAGATTTAATGCTTTGTACTGAACGTTGATGATGTGGAATTTTCATTCAGAAACATGTAAAGGAACTGTTCACAATGGTTTGGTTGGAAAAACAAAAATAAATTTTTCATTTACAAATAGGTTAAAATAAATATTGCAATTTGTTGAATGGCATTATTTCGTCTTAGTAATAATTTCTTTTCACTGTAACATATTCTTGAAAATACATATTAAATTAACATTGGTACAGAGGGAAATACTGAATAATGTAAACACATTTATATATATATATATATATATATACATATATATATGTTATTTTTTAACTAAATTACTTAGTGAACCTTAAAATTAACGTCAGTCAGAGATCTAAACATGGCAATATCTGAGTAATGATCTTGTATATATTTACATATATATAGTATAATGCTCTTAAATTTCAAGTAAAAAAAGTAAAGAACTTTGTAGGCACATGAACTTGTAGGTATTATATATGCAAGAACATTTTTCCTGGCTGAAGTACTTTAGATTTTGATTTCCACTTGAAGAAAAAAGGTGGTAAGAGTATTATAATAATGAGAATTTGCTATGGAAGTGTCAGTAAATTTTCCATCCAACTGTTCTAATGTCATAGTTTACAGTCTTGAAAATAAAATGAATATGCAAATTGGTAACAGTACTCTAGATAGTAAACAAGCCTTTAAATGATCTGATCTTGGATTCACCAAAACTTACTCATTCTTTAGTTCTTACCTACGATCTCATTTTTGCACCCCACTAGCTCAAAGAAAGTTAGAAAGCTTATGACGCTAAAAACTGGGCGGGCAGAGCAAAGATAACCCCCATTATGTAGCTTTGTATTTGACAAACTGATTGAGAAACAGAGTTTCAGTGGAAACGGCTATATACATATTCTACTCTTATTATCTTATACTTAAAATAATACTGGAACACTAGTCCAATTAAAACGACGACGCCTCGTATTGATTTGAATCAATGGTTTATTAGTCAAATGAACAAAATATTTCACTTTCCCAAACAATACGCAGTTTTTAGGCTATACAATCAAGTTGTTTCTCTAATACCGGACTATAAGAGTCAAACTTCACTTACTGTGCTATACATATATTTAACTTTTAGTCAAAATTGAAGAAAAACAACAACATAAGATTTCAACAGAGACACTCAACAAATCCAGGACCCCCAATGGCACACTGAGTGGTCACAAGTAAATAGGCACCTAATTTTCCTCATTCAACTGATTTATGCTAACTAATTTGTGTTCACAGAGCAATATATAAATGGAAATGGTCCGCACACTAATTATCTTGTGCTACAACATGCCTAGAACTCAAGGTTCTCTCGAATTGTCAGATTTTGTTAGAGGAAGGGTAGTTGGTCAAGCAGATGGTGGAATAAGTCAGCGGCAAATTTCGCAGGATTTGGGAATCCCGCTTTCGACAGTCAACAGAATCATCGTGCAGATCAGGAAACATGGCA